GATCATCTGGACTGGGGCGAGGCCCCTCCGTATCAAAGCCCCGTCGCCGAAAGGAACGAAAATACCGCGCCTCTTCGGGAGCTGACAGTTGTGCCTACCATTCATATTGATGCAGCAAGCCCTATCAGCGACAATTTCCCAGCGGCTGCTCCTCGTGAGTCCAGAGAGCAGCACGATTCGTGTGCGGATTCTTCTGGAACTCGCTAGGTTTGCAGTCCACACAGGTCTCGCTATCTCTCTACTTAACCTTTTCATTACGACTGGGAGGTGTGCAGTGCTGATAGCATCTCGAGTGCGTTTTATCTCCTGCATCGGACGGCGATTTTACGAGCATGACTAACGACGATTCATTTTCTTTCATAACGGTCGGAGAGGAACTCTAAATAGCATGGCGTCAGGAGCTACATCGGGAAATTTCTCTTTTATCTGTTCTCATCTGTTTCTTCAGTGTTTCTCTCCTGGTTTCCTTATCTCAACATGTACATTGAGATGATAGTGCCGCTGCTCGAGGAGTTGATCGCGCGCAGTTGGAGGAGACGAATGAAAATAGTCAATTTCATGAATTGCCACTTTACCTTTAATGCGCTCGGATCCAAAATTATGAGTGAGGATAGAGAAGTGCAAATACTTGCAGCACGCTTTTTGGTTGTTGTCCTCCGTATGGTGGATAGAACTATTTAGGCGGTCACTCCGACGGCAGCTCCACCTGGCCGAGTAAACAAATCAACAACTCCCCCAGCCTCCTCTTTTCCCGTCCCGCGGAGTGTCAAAACTGACTTCTGATCATCCATCGCATTATTTTGCGACTGATGCAAATAATCCGACTTTAATTAATTGCATTTCTCTTCTATACTCTCCGTTGAGATACCCATATCCTGGTTGTTATTATCTTTTCGCGTGGACGCTCGTGGCCGCCGACGCGCTTTACCACAACATACCCAGCGATTACCCATCACCTTCTGGCAGTCATAACGTCAATCCCAATTTAAGCACAAGCATTCATGTCTGAAGTCAATTGAGCTTCAACTCACTTGTATTGCTACATTTGCTTTTGGAACAAGACGCGTCATACGTTTTGACTATGTCGCGCGAGAACACCAGACGCTCCGAAGCCACGACAAACAGCTTCGCGTCGTTTGGCTCCGATTTTGACCCGGAGCATGAAGCCCTCGCGTCTACGAAACACTTTGAGAACAACCCCAAATTGCCCGAGATGAAAGGCAGTGCCAGGAAACAAATCAACAACTTTGAAGACGAGGAGCCCGACTACGCCATCGATACCTCTGCATTGGAACGCGCCTTCCCTGAATTCTCCCCCGTGGGCACCTCCGAAGATGACACCGAGGAAAGCATATCGGTTGAAGCTGGACGGGGCATTAACAAGCCGACGCGTCGGCTCGATGACTCGCGAAATTCCTTGATGAGTATCGAAAATAGTGTGCGGTCTTCCTCGCCTGCGGTCAGACTCGACTATCCCACCTCGCATACGCCTCAGAAATCGGCCATGCGCGTTTCCTCGAGAAGGACCGCCAGCGAGAGTCTACGAAGAGATGCTCAGCTGAGACAGGCCAGTCTTGCCCACAAGGAGAATCGCGACCCTCTTTCGTCCAAAAAAGCCCGCAAAGATCAGCGGCGGACATTGTCTGAAATGCACGCGAAGGTCCGCGATTCATACGACGGTTCCTTCATTGCCGATGAGAGACCTCAGCCTGTGGCAACCAGTACGCGTGCGACGCGCTTCGGAAACGTCAACCTTTCTCATCAGATAGCAGACGCGGTGGAGAGAGCATCACAGGAGGCTTATGCTAAGGAAATGCGCCGGGGGAAGTTATCCAGCAACCTGCGCAACGGGTCCGGCAATGGTGCTGGCGACACGGGCACTATGCAGTCTTTTCTTCTTCCCGATCTTCCCAATCTGTCGGAGTTGGTCTCGGGTGTCTACGAAGACGGCACACCGGTTTATACCCGCCAGAGCCGAGCTAGGGCGACACGATTTGTTTCTCCTCCGAATGACGGTGCTGATGTGTCCATGACTCGTGAACATATCCCCCTCGACGCGATTCCCATTCCAGAAGATGAAAAGGCTCTCTTTGTTTCTCTGAGACTTCTGCAGGACAAAGTTTCAGAGCTTGAAAGGGCGAAGTCGGATGGGGAGAGAAAAATTCATGAGATGCGACAGGAAAATGCGGCTTTGAAGGCTGGCCGGTCTCACCGCAAAGACAAACACGGCCGTTCTCGCGTGTATGAATCCGAAGACGATGACCATAGGAGAGACGCGGGGTCTCACTATCAGAGTAAGTTACCTTACCGTTGCAGTTTGAGAACCTCATGCTAACGGTTGCTTTAGAACTCGAAGCTTCGAATCTAGCTTTGCAAAACCAATTGGATATGGCTGAGCGGAAGGCGCAGATGAGCGAGGCGGCGCTGAAGAAATTAAACCGTGAGAGAGACATGGCGGTTTCTCAATTGGGGATAGCCTATCTTGAATCTCGAGATCTGAAAAGCGAAAATGACAGCCTTCGCCAAGAGAATGCTGAACTTAAGGCACAGCTGGCTAAATTTGTCTCGCTGGCCTCAAAATCTCGCGAGGATACTGGTCGTTCAGAAGCAACATCCGCGACGGAAGCAAGCATTGAAAGCGGCCAGCTCGACACGCAGCGAAGTGAGGACATGAGTCGGGCCACTAAAGATCTTACCAGTAAGAGTACAAGATCGAAGAGGACCGGCGGCGTAGAAGAATCGCGCACAAAGATCTCTAAACAGGTTGACAAGGAGATTTCTCGCCTTGAGAAAGAGCGAGCCGAAGAAGCTCTTTTCTCGATTGACCTGCCGACGACCAGGGCCTCGAGCTCCCGAGCTGAGAGATCCCAGACTCGGACGCAAACAGGCAACACGAAAGCAAAGAAACAGCCAAACACAGGAAAGCAGCGGGTGAAAAGGGTGATTGTGGAAGAAGTCGATGTCACTGAGCCTTTGGATTCAGCCACTGAGGACGCCACTGGTCATACAAAGAAATCCTCTGCCACAGAGCAAGACTTGACGTTGTTGAGCTTCGTTGACGTGAGTTTGTCACTTTGCTGACCATTGCTTGCCACTAATGTGATTGCTATAGGAACGTGAAATCGCTCAACTGCGGAAGATTCTAGAAGAAGAACGACTTGCGCGTAGACGGCGACAGTCGATCTCGACCAAGGTTCAAAGTGCAGACGAGACCGCAAACTCTACCCGTCAAAGTGTATCAAAATCAGCTGCGCCTCGCAAATCCTCGATGAAGGAGAGTAAAGCCCCGATAGCAAGACCCGCTTCGGCAATGGGTGATCTGACGGCCACATCGAAAGTCAGCATGGCTGAGGCAGACAGCAATCTTTCCGTGCCCATTGAGCGCCCAAGGCGGCATTCGGATCACTCCGTCATCTCCACCACTCAGCGGAAACGTCGCCCTGTTACTGACGACATGACTTCTGCTTTCATCCTGCCAGATATCACTATCCGTCACGCGGAGTTGGCAGCTGAGGACCCAAGCCGATTGCCCCAGGCTGCGCAAAAGGCCTTGGACAGTGCTACACAGCATGATGGCAAGAACTGCACGGTTTGCAAGCGCTGCATTCCTGGTGACTCGCAATGCGACCATACTCATGAGACTGTAAAGATCCCGAAACCTGTACCCGTTTCGGAGCGCATGCCTGAGCATTCTGTCTACAATGAGGAGCCTACGTTGCGCCCTGCACAATCTCCCGGTGTTGCTCTCGCGACGGTGCTTAAGGCGTTGGAGGATGAACTGTCCCATCTGAAAATGCAGCTTGTAAGCCATCAAGGGGCGTATAACAAGCTGGATGCCTCGTTGAGCAAACGCCAGAGGAAGTCGTTGGCCGCCAAGATTGAAAAGCTTCTTAAGGACATCGACTTGAAAGCTGATCAAATCTATGCGCTCTACGATGTTCTCGAAGGCCAAAAACAGAACGGACATGAGATGACTGAGCAAGAGATGGAAGTCACGCTTCAATCCATTGGGATCGACACCGCCGCCACCACAAGGGCCGCGGATGTGACCGCTACCACAGACAAATCTTCCCACAAAAACAACGATACTGACTTAGAGGATGATGAGGAGCTACCATGGGAGGGCATTGAGAGCACAATGGACGTTACTGGCAGAATTGGAAACTAGCTTCACTCCAGGCCGCTGGATTTCTTCTCTCATTCCTTGCATATTCTCTTTCCATTTCCTATTGATCTACCTTTCCGCTCAACTTTCTCACGCTCTCTCGCACGGATCTCGGTGCAGGTTTCCGACTGACCTCTTGGAGGTGTATGTCCCTGGTCCTTGAGAACTATGCGTTGGGCTGGGACACCGTTCCTAGTGTTCCTTGACAGACAGGTATGGTCCGCTGATAGACTCGGCGTCTGGTTGTTCTCGAAGCAGGGTCTGGGAACGTCTTTCGTTACTTGAGATCGGCTTAGCAGTGTTGACTGATCCAAGGGACTGTCTGCTGCATGGCCTTGATCTCGTAGCTTAGGACACACTCTCTTCATTCTTCTTTTCTCTTCTGTTGTTTTCTCCAGTGAGGTTTTAGCTTGTGAATGGTGTCCTGGCGGAGTTTATAAGTGTGTCCTATTTAATTCTCTTAGCATTTGGGCAAGGGACTTGGTTGGATTTCGAGTGTATGTTATGCTTTCAATGGTTCGATGCACGAAATGCACCTATTCATTAAGCACTGTCTTCAGCTGCAATATGTGCCTATTGGAACACAGCATCTCAAGCCGTGAAGACCTCACGCGTGGTACTGCATGTGCCATATAACCAACCAATCATGAATTCCCGAAAGTGCAACTATGATTCAATTCATGCAGCATCTGCAGAGACGACTTTTAAGACCCGAAATATATCCCCGAAACTAGGTATGAAGCATCAATAACCAACTACATCAAGCGGCGCGAACACCAGTAGGAGATCGCATATCCAATGCGCTATATATCTCATAACTGGGCAGCAATCGAGCTTAGATCGAGTTCATCCTCTCCACATCATCCATGTCGCGGTAGAAGCCGGCGACCAAAAAGGCAAGCTCCAACGCCTGCTTCTCGTTCAGGCGGGGGTCACAGAACGTCGTGTACCGCTCGCTCAGCCCCTCCTCGGTCAGCCCGCCCGCGCCGCCGACACACTCCGTGACGGCCTCGCCGGTGAGCTCGAGGTGCATGCCGCCGAGGAAGGACTGCGCGGCGCGGTGGATCTCGAGCGCCTGCCGCAGCTCGGAGAGGATGTCGCTGAAGTGTCGTGTTTTCACGCCCGAAGGGGTAGTCTGCGTGTTGCCGTGCATGGGGTCGCATTGCCAGACGGGGAGGTGGCCGGCGCGTTGGACGGCGGCGATGTGGGCGGGAAGGTGCTGGCTGATCTTGCTGGCGCCATAGCGGGAGATCAGGGTTACCTTGCCGATTTCGCGGTTGGGGTTGACGACGTCGAGGAGGCGGACGAGCTCGTCGGGGGTCATGCTGGGGCCGATCTTGATGCCGATGGGGTTGGCGATGCCGCGGAAGAATTCGACGTGGGCGCCGTCGAGTTGGCGCGTGCGGTCGCCGATCCAGAGGAAGTGTGCTGAGGTGGCGTAGTAGCTTGCTGTGGGTTGTGGAGTCGTGGTAAGTGGGTTGCGGAGGAGGCGGGTGAGACTCTGCTCGTATTCGAGGAGGAGACCCTCGTGGCTGGTGAAGACGTCGACGGTCTCGACGCCTCGGTCTGTGTCGATTCCGACGGTGTGCATGAAACGCAGGGCGTCCTTGACTCGGCTGACGATGCGCTCATACTTCTCCTTGATCGAGGGCTCAATGACGTGACCGAGTCCCCAGTCCAGTGGGGAATGGAGATCCGCGAGACCAGACGAGAGTGAGGCGCGCATGTAGTTGAGCGTGGCAGCGGAGTGGAAGTACGCGGAAACAAGCCGAGATGGGTCTGGCCTGCGAGATTCTGCGGTGGCAGCGAAGCCATTGATGTTGTCACCGCGGAACGAGGGCATCTCAACGCCGTTGACCACCTCCATAGGGCTTGACCGGGGCCTGACTCTGTCAGCAACAAAGGAGCGGACGAGTGAAGGACATGATCATGCAGCTTACTTGGCAAATTGCCCGGCTATACGTGCGATTCGCACTACAGGTTTGTTTGCGCCTGGCCGCTATTAGTACACGTCGAGGGACGTCAGGAGGCGTAAGCGTACCCCAAATCAAAATCAAACTCATCTGCAGAAGCAGTTTGAGTTTCGCTTCTATCATATCCTGATTACAGTAATCAAACAGCTCAGCGCAGTCCCCTACGAACAACACAGCGGTTAGACACAGTGGTTAGGGACCGACATCAAGGGTTCAGACAGGACAATGTACCTCCTTGTAGAACAAAAGCTTTGCCCAAGGCAACATTTCGCAAGCTCTTTTTCAGGTTCGCAATCTGACATTCGACGGTTAGCATCACACTTGTCCCTAACTAAGAGTAAAGTAGGACACTACGCCGTACCTCTTGTGTTGTGACAAGCGGAGGCAGTTTCTGGAGCTTGCTCAGAGCGGCTTGTACTCTTTCCCTATCATCATAGACAACATCTTGCTTGATGGGTTTCGTAGTCCAAGCTGATAGACACAGTCAGCAGCCGCTCCTGCAATTGCTGCTGAAGGGTAACGACTTACAGCTTGGAGTCCAGTCTTCCATAGTGAGGGTAATGATCGACGCTATTTGCCTCGCAATAAGTATAAACAATTAAGCTTCTTCAGTATCCGTTCAGATGCTGGAGTGACTAAGGAATCAACTTTCAGTCCGGGAGAGCTTAGCAGTTAAAAATGACACAAGTAAGCAAGGGACCACTTGCTGTCACAGTCAGCCTCACAATCACAGTCACACAAAGAGTGCCCACTGTAAGCCTGCAACGAGGGGAAAAAAAGCAACATGCGCTTATTCGCGGCCTGAGTCATCAATTATCCCCACTAGTCCAGACTGAGTAAGGCGCGTCCTTATCGTAATCGGCCACTTTCTTATCGCGTCATCCGTGCGGAGTAAGGTAGGAAGACCATAGAGGCATCATGACATCTTACTCTCAACCGATCCATCAGATAAATATATACCTTCAATACGCTCATTGAAAATGTCAGATTCCCTCCCCGCCGCATCCCATGACCCGGACTCCGTCGAGCGATCTCCCCCCGCCCACGCTGAAGACCGAAAAGCAGCCGCGGCGCTTTCCTCCCTGCACACTAATGAGATCGGCGCGGAATCAGGCAATAAGTCTTCACCTGCTGATCAGGAGGCCCTGGGGAAAGCGATGAGCAGGTTGGAGATTGCGCCGGTTACGGATGCAGCGGCCAAGACGGTAGATGCCAAGAAGACACAAGCAGTGACGAAGAAGGCTGTGAAGGTTTCGGCGGAGGATGTGAATTTCTTAGTGCGTTACCCTTGCCTTTCTGGAACAGGTTATGCTGGGAGATTGGGTGTATGGTGGTGTTAATGACCTGCAGGTACAAGAGTTAGACTTGAGTAAGAGCAAGGCAACAGAGTTGCTGAAGGCGCATGATGGTGATATGAGGAAAGCAATCCGGGCCTTCATTAGCCCTATGGGAGTATGACGTGCTGCTCCTGGGTATAACTGCAGGAACGGAAGCTATGTTGCTGGTGATGATGAATCCAAGCATTGTTAACGGCGAGGCTTGGACGAAACTTGGCTTCGCAGGTTTCGATATATGCAGTCTATTGTAATGACAATCTTTAACGAATTGACGATCACAGAATCAGCCACTATTTCTTTCATGTCTATCAACAACGGAGATAGACATATCTATCATAATTTGTGTCTCGTAGTCGTATATCAAACGCCATCACTCTTATCCATAAACGAGCACAGCACCGACCTCAGAGAATAGCATCAACCTTCCTGGGCGCCTTCTCTCCGATCTTTCCTTCTCTCTATCCCCTTTCCCTCATTTATAGTCCACAGCAGCAGCCATCCAACCAATGCTTCCAACGCTAGTGCCCACCAAATACCACCAACAAGATTATTTTTCAACCCCAGCCCTAGCCCCCAGCCACCGATGAAGGGCCCCAGTGTGCGCGCCGCACTCGCTATACTCTGAGCAACGCCATGCACCGTCCCGAGGATCGACGAATCAGTAACACAATTATTCACAAGAATAATAGCAGCAGGAAGAGCAAACGTCCGAGAAATAACCTGAAGCCCAACCACAACCGTGAAGGCAGGCCAGACTAGCCATGGATACCGAGGGATGATCACCAAGAACGGCATCAGAGTATAGGCAAGCGGTGAAAACGGCAAAAATGTGCGGAAAGAGGTCAAGGTTCCTAGACGAGATTGGACGTGAGGGTATACGAAGATCTGTAACGGGAGGCCGATGACCCCGATAATTGCCGTTGCAACACCAACACGGGAGGACGGTAGTCCCAGGCCACCGCTGAAATGGAAGAAGCCTCGCCGGCTATTCTCCGGAGCCCTCGGGGTAGGGAGGAAGACAAAAGTCATGGCGTTAAAGGCGCTGGTGTGGAATGCCAGAAGAAAATGAACTAGCAATGTCAATAGAACATTGGGGGTCCAGATCTCACGGAATCCCAGCCGTTTATGGCGAGGAAGCCCTTGCAAGCGGATCGGACTAGATGGAGCCGATCTGCTGGTCACGCTACCGTCCATACACTGAGACTCGTCGTCCTCGAGGTTCCTTAACCGGCGATAATGACCTGGAACCCGACGTCGGGAAAAGAATCTGGCGAGCGTTCTCCCGACCTGGCGGCCCCAGTCGCTTCGGTATCGTGCAATCTCGTGTGTCTAGGAGGTACGTTAGATCTTGATCGGTCCAAGAAATGCGTACAGAACCTACCTCGTCGAGCCCAAACAAGATAGCCAAAAAGGCAGCAAAGGTGAAGATAGCATTGAGGATATTTGGCAACGCAAACGGCCACCGCTCCATCCACCACACACCATGCTTCCCACCAAAAAATGACCCAGGGCCAAACAGATGAGGATAGCTGCTGATAGGATCGGCCAACGAGCCCCCAATGATAGGGCCAACGATAACCCCAATATTAAAGCACATCGGAAGCAGCAGGAACGCACGCGACTGATATCTGCAAAGTAAACTTGTCAGAAACACATTCACCAGGCGCAGACCAAGACCACTTACTTCTTCTCCTCGATAATTTCCGATATCATCGTCCGCATCACCCCAACGTTACTATTCAGAAACCCCCCGAGAACCCGAAACACCACCGCCGCCGCAAACGACCTCGAGAACCCAAACCCAAGACACGAGATACACGTCCCCAGCAACCCAATCAGCAGCACGCGCTTCCTCCCCATCCACTCCGCGTCCGCCAACCGGCCCCACCAGACCGCCGTGAGAAACTGCGCAGCGGTAAAGCTGCCCTGCATGATCCCCGCCTGCGTTGAAATAGTCGAGTCCGGCAGCGAAGGGTCGAACGACTTGAGCTGGTAGAAGAGGTATGCCTGGAGCGATGTCTGGGTCAGTGGCTCGGAGAGACGGGCAAAGGTGAGGATGGCGAGTTGGCCCTTTTTGGGCAGGGAGGCCCAAGTCACGGGCTTCTCACTGGGGGAGTCGATGACTAGATCGGCGTCTTCTGCATCGTCATCCTCGTCGCTATCATCGACGGGTGTGTCTGATGAGGTTCGTCCATGTCTGGTGATGTCGAGTACGTGTGCGACGGGCGAGGTCGAAGGATGACTACCGTTATGGTTCGTACTGTTTGGAATTTCTCCATCTCTGTCTCTGTCGAGGCAAATTGATCCGTGAGGGCTAGCGTCTATGTGGTTGCGATGGAGTTGGCCATCATCATGCCGCGGATGACTTGTAGGGGCGGCGTGCATCAATGAAAAGGCAAGCTAGAGATGTAGTGAGGCGTGATAAAGGGACTGATGGTTTTCTATTTAACAATGAGCAAGATATATTGATGCTAACTGTATACAAGGAATTCCTTTCCGGCGAAGCAATAGTAAGAAGAAATTTGCGCTGACGAGATCGAGGCTAAGCTCGCGTGATGCATCTCGATTTTATTTACTTCGTCCGTAGAATCTTATCGATAAGATCGGAGCAATGAAGAAGTGCGGAGATATCAAGTGCCGATTTAGCCGATCTCGGGGGATGCCTGATCAGGTTCCGAGACCGTCATTGCAGCCTGAGGCATTCGAGAGTGTTCGGCAAACTAGAATTGATGAATTCTTATATTATGTATTCAATGGTATATTCATAATGCAATCAACCAATGTACAGGGTATATCCCGACCAAAAAGGAAAGGGGAGAAATTGGGCCCATGAATCAAGAAAGCCAAACGCCTTGCATGCAATACGCGAATCATCAATTGATGAGTGGACTGCCAACCTTGGGCTTGAAAGCAAGACTCTTTCGTCGCGCAGCCTCCAGCTTGAATCGTAGTTTCTGAGTAGGCTCATCGTCAATCGACGACGAAGTCGAAAAGAGGCCTTGCCGAGTCTGCTTTGGGGGGCACGTTTGTTGGACGAGCCTGGATTTCTGAGAGAGATAGAATGGGGTGGCAGGGGACATTCCGATGTTGTCCATCCTGCTGAAATCGTATCCAGATGTGCCTGGGGTCTTTGGCGTCTGGCAATATTGCTGATCTGCCTCTGTGTGGGTTACGGTGTACTTTCTGTTGCTCTCCGGAGTCGAAGCCTCCCCATGCGAAAGTGGAGGAGTCTGTCTCATAAAATCACCCATGGTGCTAAAGTCAGCCCCGGAGCGTCTGCCAGATGCAGACACCGATGCGCTGTTGTCCGCTTTGATCAGAGTTCCGTTGACATTGCTCAGTGCCCGAGGCTCCATGCTCTTCCTGCGCTTGGCACCACCGCGAGGGATGATGGAGCTATCGACTGCGTAGTGGGTTTCATCAAGCCATTTGTTTTCTCGCTCGCAACTGGAGTTCCATGTCAGCATAGCCTAACCGAGCAATATCGACAAGATTACTTACTCAAGAACCCAACCAACACCGACACACTTGACCAGGCCAGCCGCTTGTCTGACCTTTTCCAGGGTCCTCACTCCTCCGTCCTTGAACACAACGTGGGTAATTCCCACCTTGCTGTCTCTGCGGTTTGTCATATCGCCTGACGACATACTTGCGCGAGGATTCCATCCCCAACTCTTGACGCATCGAGCTCCCATCTGCTGCAGAAGTTCAATGAATATGCCGCTGGCATCTTCTCCCTCAGTTGTATGGACATCCACATATACAACCGCTCCTCCAAGAACGTTTTCACAAGCAGCAATGTTCCTATGAGGAGTCTTTGAGGGGCTTGGAGATGCTGAAGGAGCCATGGAACGCCTACTCGACTGGCTGGCAACACTCCTCCGCCCGGAGTCACATTTTTGAGACCGGGGAGTCTCGTTATGTTGGAGTTTGGGCATCTTGCGAGGAGAGGCTTGTGCCGTACTCTGCTGCAGGGGAGCAAGCACAGGCTTTCGGAGCCGAGGAGATGACCGGACAGGCGAAGAGATTGAGAGCGATCGGCCCCTTTTGCGGGACAGTTTCAAGGGTGAAACTTGACCTTCCGGCTTCAGAGGTACTTTGGATACCGTATGGAAGGTCTTTAGCGGGATCTTTTTCTGCTTGACGGGTGTGGCAGGAGCAGGCGATTCGACTCTTCCATTCTCCTTGTTCTCGTCCGAATTGTCTTCTTTCGGAGAGCTAGGCGATACAACCGGGCTCTTGGCGATATCAGAAGCATGCGCAGGCTGACGGTTCAGGAACTCTTCGTATGCAGTCGGCTCAGCGAATTCGGGTTGCGGCTCGCTGAACAACTCGGTCATTGGCTCTCTCTGGGGAGATGATGTTGCTACAGCACTAGAACGAGACTCTTCTAGGTTTTGCTCATCCTGGTCCTCGTAGGTCTCTGGAACACCGGCGTAGATCTCGCTATCGCGAGGGCGATCTGAGGCTTTGTCTTGAGGGGATCCAAGACAATTTTCGATGTCAGGGTAGGCCACTTCTTGAGGAATACGAGACCCACGACGAGAAGACCTTCGAAGTCCTCCGATGGAGAACACCCCTCGCCCGGTGCGTTTTGGCCGGGCCTTCTCGGGGCTGCTAGCTTTCCATTGACTGAGCTGCTCTGCCAAAAGCGTGAACCGTGGACGACGGTTTCGCTGCATCAGAGATCCGCTTTGCGGGTCGTCACTGCAAACCGCCGCGGAGGTAGATGAATCGGGCAGGTCATTATGCTCGAACGAATGACTCTGGTTGTCCGTGGTGAGCTCAGACTCAGACATATCCTCTTCTTCGCGGTATTCCAGATTACCGTGGTAGGCAATGGCATCCTGAGTTGTCGACGCTTGTGGTGCAAAGGAACGATCCTGGTCATGAAGGGGGCTATTCACTCTTTCCAGTTCTTGCTGAGCGCCTAGCTCAGTGTTTGACTCCGCATTCGGTTCTGCGTCAGGCTGAACTTCATAGATATAGTGGTCCGTGGTATCAAATGCGACGAGTGTCGCCTCGTCATCATCAAAATATTCGCTATCGTGGAAATCAACATACTCATCGTTGAGCTCTTCAGGTTGGACATCGACTTGAACGGCGGCACTTCCCGTAGTCTCCGGAATAGGGTCAGTGTCAGATTCACCATCAACGTCTTCATCGGCCACCGGAGCGTCAGTGAAAACATCTTCAAGTCCCTCAATCGAGTGTCGCTGAAACGGCAGGCTTGACTCCTCTGTCACAGCTTGAAACTCGTTGCCGTATACGTCCTGCATCATGCGCTCTTCCTCTGGCTCTGATTCAGTTGCGTCCGGGTCCTCTGCGTCATCATAATCAGGCGCGAGGTCATTTTGCTCGGCGTGGGTACCCATGTTGCTGACATATTCGGTATGGCCGACAATGCTTTCGTCCGCCAGATGGACATCGTTCTCATCAATCTCAGAGCCCTCTTCACTGTCGTTGTCATCTAGCACTCGAGGTTCCTCGTCGGCAAGGGTCTCGGCGTTATACTCCGCAGCTTCTGCATCAGAGGCTGCGTCGCCAGATTCTTCACAATCGACTTCAGGACCTTCGTTGGTCAACTCGCAAGCTCGAACATCCTCGACACTGTCGACGACATCATCATGATCGGACAGCTGTTCTGGAGCGTCCTCGACATCTTCTGCGGTCATGGAGTGTGTTTGCTGCTCGTCATTGATATCATGAGAATCAGCAAAGTGCGCCGGAGATTCCACGACAGGATGCTCGTCGGACGATTCTTGTTCCGGCTCCTCTTCTTGGTCTAGTCCTTCGTTATCATAATCGACATCCATCGGCCCTTGAGGTTCAGGAGTCCTGAGAGACGTTTCAACATCTTCCGCATCATTGGCCTGGTCGGCACCGCTAGCAAGATCCATACCGCTTTCGTTCTGACGCAATTCCGGCATTGAACGAACACTCGAGAAGAGACTGTTCTTGAACGGGGAAGCAATTCTCTTTGCAGGGCTTTGGAGCAACAGCGACCGGGACTTGAATGGCGTCGATGATTCCTGCAAGGGAGCCTGAGCGAAAGATACGCCAAATATGCCTTTCTTAGGGGACGATTTGAGAGGCGAATTGTGCCCTGGGGTGAAATTCGGCTGTGATAAAGGCATGATTTCGTCATGGATACCCAAGCCTCCGTGTCTGGGTGTCTCCAAGTGGGCTTTCTTTGGAGATGCTTTGAGTGGTGAATTTTGTGTTGGCGTTAAACTCGGCTGGGCAATCGATTTCTCGTGTCCTTTAAAGGACAAGCGAGCTCGTCTTGGTGTCTCCTTGACGGTATAGTGGAAGGGAGAAGGGGTGGGCCGCCGGGCAGGACTGGACATAAACAGCGAGTCACTGAAGTCGACTGCCTTCGTAGGTTGGAGGTTGGGCTCCCCATTTTCGTCCACCGACTGGTTGAGTTTTCTTGGTGTGAAGTTGATTTTTCGCACGGGAGAGCTCAACCCAGTAGCTTCTGATCCTTGTTTGAGAGGCGAGTTTATGACCAGCTTTATTTGGTCCTTGGCGCTGCTGAGTTCATCATCCTCTCCGTCCGAGCTGACATATGAGGAAATCGATTTGGCAACTTGCGTGGCTTTCTTGGGTGAGAGAGGCTTGCTGGCTTCTTTCGTGGAGGCTGCAGGCTTGCGCCCTCGGCCAGTAGTTGTAGCAGGCTTGCGAACTGGCTTGGCTCCGAGACCGACCTTGCCTGCTGCTGTAGTTGCTGCTCGGCGTCTTCCAGTCGTAGCAGGAGCTGGTTCGTTGGCATCCTCCTCTTCGGAATCGGACACATCTTTGAATGTGACAGTTTTCTTCTTGGCTGGTCCCCGGAGCAAATTTGACCTCATGGTTGTGGAGTTTGTCGCGATAACCATATGTTTGGGACCACTACTGGATGCTTCGACTGCGCCCTTCTGTGTTCGAGTCTTCTTCTTTGTACTGTCTTTATCAGCACCTGTAGTGGCAGCAGGCTTCGCCGCGGCAGTTGCCCTTGGTCGACCTCTCGGTCTAGGTGCTGTCTCGGGTTGAACTTCGTTCTCCTTTGCCAGCGGCTTCGTCCTTGGCCGTCCAGGTCGCTTCTTAGGGGCATCGGTCTGGGCCAGCTCGTCCTCATCGTTGTCGCTCTCATACTCTGCAGCTGCAGGAGTCGCGGGTCTTCTTCCCCGTCCTGTAGCGCTTGTGGAAGAAGTTGAGCTCTTCCCTTTGGGTCTGCCTGGTTTCGCTTTTTCCTTCGTATCTATGAGTCCCAGTTCGTCGTCCGTAGCCTCATCCGTGTCAGAGTCCGGCTGCCTAGTCCTCGCGCTTGTCGCCGTTGCAGTTCTCGTGACTCTTTTTCTGGTTTCTGTCGCAGAAGTTCCTGACTTTGTCCTCGTAGTCCTCGCGACCGGTTTGCTGGCCGTGGTGAGACTGGCGGCTTTAACTGTGCTGGCCGGGGGACGGCCACGGGTGGTCCGTTTTGGGGACGACTTTGGGATGATAGCTGCGCGAGCCATTTTGAATCAATGACAAAAAAATTATGCACCCAAAAGGTTTGTGTCTCAGGCGGCTGTGCACTTGTGCAGTTTCCCTGCTGTTAGTAACGAAGATAGGTCGGTGTTGACGAGCCCGATGCGCTCATCATGAGCTGAACTTCGCAGCAAGGGAATGACAAAATCGACTAGCCACAAAGGCGCACCTGCAGAAAGTTCCCAAGCAGGGGCTTTGCTGTGGCTATTAAGTAGACTTAGCTCGTTGATTAGATATGTGTTGTTGACTTCGAGCTGTTTGGCCGCCCGCTAGAGCTGCGGCGTTTGTCCTTAGCTTTCTTGTTTGAGAAATCACGTGGGTGTTGTCATAGCAACACCGATACCCACAACCACGTGACGTATTTCTGCCTATCATGAACCTTGACCTCCAGCTTACATGCGGTTTACTGCGCCCAAGGGGGATATCATTCCATGGGGCCGATATGAGACAGGATGATGTTTTAATATTTGCATAATCTATATACAAGAGGGGTACAAAGAGATAAATAGATAGATTCCAGCAACAATATTGCTCGTTGAATCTCCCAACTGGAATAACATGGCATCTGTTAAAAGTCTGTGACGTAAGGATATAGCTCAGACAGCATTAGATCCGGTAGAAATCGACAGTTTCGAAAATCTCCAAAATGAATTTTATACAATTGTCCAAACGGCAACAATAGCGGCCATTGCAACAGTGGAAATACTTGGGATGATCCCAGAGGCTGCACTATCCAAAATCGTGACCGGTTCGTAACCCGCAGGGGTGGTGCTGTTGAGAGAGCCGTCCCAGCAATACCTCTGGAAACATTGTTTGCAGATTTCCGGCACGTTAGTGTTGGTGCGTTCGAAAGACCGACTCAAGATAGCACAGCCAACACAGGTTGACCAATTGCCATCACGAGTGCTGTTACCCATTGTCACCACATCATATCCGTTCAGAATGGTAGAATCTCGCTCTTGTTCTGTGTAGTCTGGCTGGAAAGTAGAAAAGTTGGAGTAAGCCGTGTAGGGGTAGTTTGGAAGATATACAATCAAGGGCGACGGGCCAGTCGTGTTTGAGCTGTTGCACCCGAAGAACGTGGGCCGAGTGTTCAAGCCTTTGTTGACGAAGGTATTCTGATCGGGAATTGCAGGAAAGGAAGTACCATTGGCGATGCCTGAGGAGTTCAGGCTACGCTCATAAGTAGCGACAAGGGCAGTTCCGTTGGGCCAGCTGTACGTGGTATCGGCAGAGGAATCGACGGCGAAGATCACATCGACATGTCGCTCTGGCTGAATCAACGGGTGCAGTGGTATGTTCTGCAGATCTTCACCGCCATCCACCAAGTCCAGTTCCAATTCAGCGGCATTCGGATTGGTTGCGTTGGAAAATTGGTAGAATGGGTTGGGAGCGTATTGAGCAATGTCCTCGTCACTTTCGCCAATGTCCTTCAAGATGTCCGTGAAGACGGATTTCAGCCAATCCGGCAAAGCCGTGGAGTTGATCTGAAGAAGGAATTGATTGAAGAGAGTAGAGGATGTACCCATGACGAAGCCAGCATTGTCAAAGCCACGCACACAGCTCTCATTACTTGGGACTGAGCCGCCACTGAATTTGGTTCCTAGATACTCGAGGGGGGCAAATCCAAAAATTGTGGGGTCAAAAGTTCCAAATTCCCAAGGATTAAATTCATAGACAGTGGCATTGCTGCTGATGAGAAGTTCTCCAGGGTAGCGACCATCTGCAACAACCAAAGGCATTGGCATCTCTGCCTGCTGAAAGGTGTCGGTTAGCGCGATGGAGGACCATGTATAGCTGGGACCACCGTTTGTTGCATTGATCAGCTGGTAGGACAAAGCACGGCCCCTGTAAAATCATCAGCATGTTGTGTTGCGACAAAGAAGATCAAAGGCTATCATTACCAGTAGTCAGTAATTGAAGTCGGGTAGCCTGCATCCGACTTTCCAGAGACCGCATTGCTGATGTCCCTATAATAGGACGCTGAATCCAGAATCTGAATGCTACCCCCATCAGGACCTTCGAATATTGAATTTTGAAATTGCCAAACGGTGCCCTTTTGGTGTGTCTGGAGCGCAGAGATGGTAGTAAAGTTGTTGATGTAGATTGAGCCCACCAGCCATGATCCACCACTCAGGCCAGACAGATAGGTGGCTGACTGCAGCAATCCACCCAACTGACCGGCGCTCGTAGAATTCGGCGTACGACTATCAAAGGCCTTGATTGCACCCGCGCCGTTCATCAATGCTCGATAGCCACCACCAGAGACTGCGATTCCGATATTGGGAAGATCCGACGAGTTACTGGAATGGCGGTCAATGTACCCCGCCGCGTCGAAGTCTTGAATCTTGACATGATTAAAGAAGTCCTTCATCGCAGAAGTAGTCTTGCCCCGACGCGTCTCCAGCCATGACGTCTCGTTGGGCGACAACTTTGCGGCACTGCGAATGGTAGGGCGACTGGCAGGACAACCGACTGTACTGGGTTTGTATCCATCGGGGGCATTGGGCAGAGCACGCTGCAGAATTTCAGCATGAGAGGGCTCTGGAGCACCAGTCACGCCTATCGAAATTCAATGACATCAGTTTCCGTTTGTGGGCAGATATGTGAAAGCTACACATCCGACTAGTTTGAGCCACACTTCGAGGCAGAACGATTCACCTACCAGAAAATAATAGACCAGCGACAGCGCACGCGACTGTGATGGTCTTCATCTTGGGTTGTTATGCCGCCTTACGCTATAACCCGCGTGAAGATTCAGCCAGAGAGGACAATAAGATCAAATATTTCTTTCTCTGAGGCAGCCATCATTTGATATTTGAATAAATGGGGCGGTGTCCCTTAGCCAGGGGTCCTCATCTTGGGACGGTGGATCAGCAAAAAGGCCAAGCATGCCAAAGGCTTGGGAGATTAGGACAATTTGAACTAGTCTCATCCCTCGCGTAGGATAGGCGATTGTCATTGGAGCGTTCGTAGTTCGTTCGTAGTTTGAACCGAGGACCACAAATCAGCCTCGCTGAAAGGGCTGAAAATGCATGAGGATGACGATTGTGAAGCTCGACGGATCATCCGGCCATTCCGCCAGTCTAGGCTGGAAACGGCAATAAAGGTGCATCACCTCTACAAATTAGCACCGTCTCGCAGCTGAGTGGGGTTCTGATTCTTTTTCTGATGATCTGTGTACAACAAAGATATTGTTATTCTGCAAAGGTTATCCATGCTGTCCTCAATCTATGTCGGTCTTAGTGGATGTGAGGTTCAGCTTCTGGCAGTCATGATATTTTGAGTTTTCTCGACTGCAGCTGTGAGACAACGTCTGCTTGCCAGCCTTGAAAGAACTCTCAGCATGCATAAACTAATATTGTTGATCCAAGGTATTTTTATGCAATGAACCATAGAAAAACTCGGAGCACTCGGTACAATAATCTTGCTGCCTGCTGGATCGTTCGTAGATGTGACCAAATAAAATAGGAAAGGGTCCCATATTTTCAAATTATGACTATTCTGGGCTCCACTGTCGGGGCTCGGACCGGTTCGATCTTTATATATCTTAGATGGTGAAGTTCAGATTCATTCCGGTCATGGAAGTGCCCTTCTGCCAAGCTTTGAACTAGTACTTGCGCCACGATTGTGGGAAATGGACTTATCTTGTGTTGCTGAGGTTTCTAGAAGGTCCTCCGCTATCATTTAATCACATGGATGCCTGTCTTATATTCCATAGAGCCTTGGAACGGCGAATGAGAGATAAACACGACTGATTGTCAATTTACTGTCGGAAATCTCTACTCCCTGATTGTCCATGTGTCCTTCATGCCAAAGACAGAAGATTCGTGAGATTGAGATGGCCATCGACGCTATTAGGAGAAATTGAACTGAATGTCTAGTTAGAGCAGAGTCTCCTAGTATGCTTCCTCGTTACCTTCAAAAGAGGATATACTTGGATGGTAAATAGCCACTGCCTCTGGGTAGGGTAATGGAAAGGCACATGTCATCCGCACCTCTTGGGTATCATTTAGACTCCAGGCAGACATTCCCGTCTGCAGTCTCTTATATTGTCTTAAATCTACCAGGTACCTTACCGTCAATCAAATTTGTCTTTTGTCGAGGATTCAATCTACGTTGTATCCAACCTATGCCCGATCTATTGGAAAACGAGTATCTTCTGTCAATCCGTTTATTAGCAATCGGTTTTGTTTTCGAGTATACCATCTAATCTGGACATGGCACCTACATTCCACTTTGAAGACTGTATCTGTTGTAGGAGCTGTCCTCGAATCTACCGGTAAGTTGGATATTATTGCATCTGTCTTGGGCCTGCCAGCAATATATTGTTGGGTTCTATCCTCGGACTTGAGAACTTAGCATTTAGCCCTCTTCGCATAAGAATGTAGCGTCATATCTACATAGACTCCTGTATTTGAATCTATCCTCCTAGATTTGTCCCCAATATATCTTTGCAGTTGACACCAAATCCAACAGGTGTCGTCTTAATGTCTTGAATCTCGTGCTGAATTAGCAACTGCATCTGTCTAATACTGAAGTTTATTGTCCAAAACAATCTATATCGGCATGTATCATTCATTTTCCACCAAAGGGAGTCCTCATCTATCATAACCTCTAAGCCCTAACCTCGAATATATCTTTAGAACTGCACTTGCATTGTTCTTATGCCGTTTCCGGGATTTGTCCCGACATTATCTTTTTCAACTTATTGCGAAACTTACTGCTCAATCTACAGCCAACATGGCGGTAGGGAAAAGTGTACTCTCTTTTATTTGGCTTCTTCACCTGTCGAGGTATCGTACGGCAGACCGACTTCAAACCTCAGTATGTCCGTTCGATCAGGGATCGGCAAAACATTCCCTGAACCCATAAGCAGCCAGAAGCTTATACGGGTATCCGAGTCTGGATGGCTGGCACAGCACAAGAAAAGCGATGAGTGGCTGTCTGGAATCAATGCTTATTTATCCTTAATTTATGCTTTTCACTTTCTACCGCAGTGTATATCGCGTGTGGGGAATGGGATTCTATTATCAGGCCTAGGCTTATGCAAAGTCCTCCCTTATTACAGTCTATTATTGATTAAAATGCACTTCCCTCCAAACCAAGACCCCAGAGCCGCCAGCTGTACTCCGTATGCCTTAGGTTTCTATGCTATGGTTGAGCCGAGGGACGCCTCCCGGGAAACCTAAAAGGGTAAGTAGCTCAAGTGGATTCGCCCACTTCTCCACAATACCTTATCTCCCCAGAACGAGACATAACTAAGACCTCTGAAGGTCACAAGGTTAGATGTGAGCGAGCTTTGTAGATGTGCCATGGTGCAGATCTGAGTTGTGTAGTAAATGATTTTGAACAGTATAACTGACAGGAATTACGCTCTTGAAACAGGCTAAGTTAAGCGTATATAGTTCTGGACAGTAATGCCGACTCGGATTTGGACACACAGAACGACGATCGTCTTGAAATCAATAACTGGAAAGTGAGATTAGATAGAAGAAGATAGAAGAGGAAATGAAATGCATCGTCCTAGGATAGATTCAAAACTTGGGTGTCATGGTAGATAAACAGCAAACAATTGACCAATAGCGAACCTACGGCATAGGAGGTTCAGGAACCATCTCCTGCCACCTGTCCATCACTCTTGGAACATGATCATGCTCTCTGCTCCTGCATTCTAGTCTCTATCTCGAGTACTATTTCGAAGAATCCCGTAACCGCTAATAACCATCCCAGTAACGATCGCCTAGGACCCGTGACCATAATCCGACCCAGTGTAATCTCCCCCGTAGAATCTTCTGCTGCATTAAATCTCCTTTCCAGAACCGCCAGTCCATGGCCCCGTGACCCGACCGCAAAAGCTGTCCCATCCCCAGCGTTCTCGACCCAAATATTCTTAGAAAACATGCCGGCATCTTAAGTCATCTGAACCCGTCGGGTTGTCTCCCGTCCGGATTACTCCATTAGGCAATCCGAGCCTTCAAATGGTGCCACGACCAAGAGTCTTCCAGTCACTCTGTTGTGGTCATTTAGCCTGTAGGAGCGGAACCAGGTTGTCAGGGTTGGGGAACATGAATGTTGTATCATCGCTCCATCATGACTATATCATCAGTTTGGGTTTTGTCTGGATTATTCTGTTTGGGGTTCTCAATTCCTGCTCCTCCGTACGTGTCCTTTAAATATTGTTAAAATAACCCGTAGATCAGACACAACTGTTGATGCCTTTCATGTCAGGACTCAGGAAGGGGAAGATCAAAACGTCCAACATGCGTACCATGGCTGTACAGAGCGTCATAAAACGGTCGGATTAAAATAAAACCTACCTACAATAATAACCTAAGGGAGTTCGTACAACGGACATCAAGCAAATGACCAATTGGTGGAGCAGAAACGGCTCCTCTATCCCACGCATAACTGCATTATCGCCCCCGCTGGGTCTGGACCGAATCCATCGTTCCTTCGACCAGATTCCCTCGCTGGCTTGCTTGTTGACATTCTCTCCGAGTAGCCATCATGCTTGCCTCTTTTGGCCACTATCCAAATTTCGACTGCTCACATGAGCTCTTTGTCTTGAGCGTAGGCCTGTAGTCGTAGTACTACCCACCTTTTTCTGGATTCGTTCATCCGTAGGTTCACGATCGTGAAGTATTTAAGGTACTGGGTTGCTGCTGTTAGATCAACCTGGCTTCGATTGTATTCTACCCAGCGTCTATTCTCCTTTCTCTCTGCAGTAAGCAAGTCAATTGAACGACTACATCGCGACTCAAGTTACTCACACTCTAATTACTGCTCGACTACACAATCTACTCTAATCATAATGTCTGTCTCAATCACTGTCGATACTCCTGTCGTCCCTGCCACCAAACGGGCAGACGTCTCTCTGGGCTCCAAGGGTAGAATGCCAGAATTCAGTCTGGCTGGCAAGGTCGTCCTTGTCTCTGGTGCTGCTCGTGGTCTTGGTTTAACCCAGGCTGAAGCGCTCTTGGAGGCTGGAGCGAAAGTGTACGGATTGGATCGTCTGGAGGAGCCAGTGAGTAACCTTGGTTCTACAACCTTGCTCATGGCGCATCTTGTCTAACCATGCTGGATGGTGATAGTCCGCCGAGTTCTTCGAGATTCAAAAGCGAGCCAAGGAGGAACTGGGCACGGAGTTGCACTACCGTCGCATTGATGTGCGTGACACGGAACTGTTGACCAGCACCGTTGAGCAAATCGCCGATGGCGAGGGCCGAATGGATGGCCTGATTGCCGCAGCAGGAATCCAACAGGAAACTCCGGCCCTGGAGTATACGGCCAAGGACGCGAACACCATGTTTGAGGTGAACGTGACGGGTGTGTTCATGACTGCCCAGGCAGTGGCCAAGCAGATGATTCGCTTTGGTAATGGTGGTAGCATTGCACTAATTGCGAGCATGAGCGGTACTGTCGCGAATCGGGTACGTTCCCATCAGTTCCTTTCCAGAGTGGGAAACGGGGATTCCTGGATTTCTTCCCTTCCCCGCTTCTGACTTATGTCACGCTTGGCTGTCAAAATCCATTGCATGGCCTCTACTGTTGTCAACAGAACTAAAACAATGCTAACTTGACTAGGGTCTCATTTGCCCCGCGTACAATGCCAGCAAGGCCGCTGTCATCCAGCTTGGTCGCAATCTGGCCATGGAGTGGGGTCAATATGGCATTCGCGTCAACACCATCTCGCCGGGCTACATTGTCACGAAAATGGTCGAAGATTTGTTTGTCCAGTTCCCGGAGCGCCGAGAAGAATGGCCCAAGCACAACATGCTGGGCCGTCTGTCTACCCCCAACGAATACCGGGGTGCCGCAGTCTTTCTCTTGAGTGACGCCAGCAGTTTCATGACAGGAAGCGATCTGCGCATCGACGGTGGCCACTGTGCGTGGTAAATATTTGCTCGATGCTTTATATTTTCATTCTGTTTTATTTTTCTCCCGGACGATCTTTGTTTCTTGAATGCTATTGCATGGCGTTTTGTGTTGGGAAAGCAAGCGTGATCTGATTCGAGTCAATGTTCTCGTCATGATATCTGCCGTCTGCCATCTCTCCAGACTTTCGCATCGAGGGAGGGGAAAAGATGAACGGATAGTATGGTTTACTTAGAATATTCGAGGGCTGCGACCAGTTAATACATGGATCATTTGGTTATTCGATCATCGGATTACTATGCTTTGACAACCAACTGTACTCCGTACTCGAATCCTGAATTCCTGGCTGATCATCGTGGCCAACAGGGAATACCAGCGACTAGAAAGTAAAGTTGCACAAGGCCGCGTCACTAAGGTATCCTTTAGTCTGAGATCTGGCAGCACAGAAATAACGGAGCAACTCCGTTCGGCCTTTCTTCCGGCTTCTGACACGCTCGAGAACGAGATTCTGTCCACCCAGCAGGTCAAATACCTATGTACATCCCGAAACAATGCCGTGGTTCACGTTACCTTCCTTTCCATAGGTCAAGTCGCCCATGATATCAGGTCTGAGATGAGCACATGGACTAACTAAGGAACATGGAACGAAGTATCCAACAGTGGACTACAATGAGAGGAGTGCTCGATCGCTGCTTTATCATTCAATTGATGAAAATTAACTATATATATAAAATAACATATACAAGGTTAATAAATAATAAAGTCTTCCTTCTCGTTCTTGCACTCGTTCTCCTCCTTCTTCTTCTCCTCATCCTCCTCCTTCGCCTTGGCGGCCTCGGCCTCCTTCTCAGCCCTCCTCTTCGCCTTATCAGGCTTCTTTCTTCTCCTTGGTTTCTTTGCGGGCGGG